TGAATCTCATGGGTCTGTGACTGGCTTGCTGAGATTCATTCACTTATAACTGCACACTATTATCCATATTATCTATTGTGACAACAGAGAGATATCCTGAAGGAGGACCTTCATTTTCATTTTTATTTTTTATTTCCAAAATTAGTATTATTGGTTGGTTTTTTCTCTCCTCTTATCATTAATTTTTTTCCTACTCTTTGCAAATTTTGGGGGTTTTCTCCTTTTTTTTCTTCTTTCTTTTCTCTTTCCTTTCTCTCTTTCTTACACTCACTCTCTTGCTGTCCCACATTGTTCATCTCCCTTTTTGTTCCTGTTCTGGCCCTCATTTGCATTTCTTCTTTATTTTTCTATTATTCTCTTTTTCCTTCTCTTGCCTGTGTCCTCTATCTCACTGCTAACATTACCCTATCCTTCTACCTATCTATCCCTCCCTCCACAACTCCTTTTAACTCCCCATTCCAAAAGGTAAAGTTGCTATATTGAAGAGTTAATTCATTATAAACATATGTTGGGTTGGTCATCGATTTTGATTTAATTCACAATCAAAGGTGATAGATTAATAACTACCACAACTTGTCATTTTTTAGATGTACTGATGCTATGGTGCTGCAGATTGTATTACTTGGACTAAGGTGTTATTATTGATCTAGTCAGTGGTCTTTCCTGGTGTAATGAAAATGAGATAGCCTCAGAGTCATTAAAGACTCAAAACTTAAAAGACCAGCTATATCTGGAAGACACCCCTGAGAAGCAATCATTCCATAAGGGTTCTAATTACAAGCAACAAAGTTACTTACATTAAGCAATTTCAAAGTATCAACACAGGAGTTAAACCAAGGACAGTACCAAAAACAAAAATGAGAAGACATTTAAGCAAGGCACAAACTCAGACTTCCACACCACCAAGGGTAAACCCTGGGGGAAACGAGGTAGAAAAGTCTGATAATCAACCACCTGCACACCCTGAACTAATAGTATAGGAAGTAACAAAACAGATGACTGAGGCTCTAGATAAATTCAAAGCACAAATAATCTCCCAGATATCTACAGAGATGGTGAGTAGAGTGAAAGACATGATTAGAGGATCTAGAACAGAAACAGATAAAAAAAATAGATGAGCTCAGAATCATGCTAGAAGCCATGAATACCCAGCATAAGAAAGAAATGGAAACCATGATT